AAAATATTACCTTTACGAATGTCTTTAGATCTGCGCAGTTGTGAAAATTGAATTTAATTCAATACGGAAATTCAATTACGGAAATTCAATTATTTTCATAATAGTTCTCGATTTTTACTTTGACAGGACGGGTACGATTATGTCAATTCACAGGAAAGATTAGACAAATAATTGTGCCAGGCATTTAATAGACAGTGCTGACATGCTCGTAATATTTTATAGCAATGCCTTGAACATTAATTTATTATATCCCATTAAACAATGTGAAACTTTAAATAAAGAAAGGATCAACAATAAAACCTTACATTTGAAAAAAAAAAACATAGCTGAAAAGGCATAAAAGGCATCAGACCCGTTACATAATAAAACCAAAATATAAAAAAAAGCTTACCTATGGAAAGCATTGACTGTCTTATAATTATAAAACTGAACGTTGTTATGTCCAAATAGCAATATATTGAGTCAACCTTTCCTTATACAATGTGAACACATGAATATATTATCTGGAAGCATCCTAACATGAATTCAACTGAACAATATATGATGCTAGCAATATACGATGTGCATTAATGAATATTTTATGTGGAACCATCTTTATATAGATTCATAATAACAGTATATTATATCAGTCTGTTCTTATATGATGTCAGTCTTTCGTTATACGATTACCAATATACTATGTGGAACCATTCTTATATAGCGTCAAAATAACACTATATTATGTAGAATCGTCTTTATTAAACAATATATGATGTATGTGTGTCTTTATATGATGTCAATATTTCATTATATTGTCGAATCATTCTTGTATAGAGTCATTTTAACAATATACATGTATGATGTCAATTTTTCATTATACGAGGTGCATTTATGATTATTTTATGTGGAACCATATTTATATAGAGTCATAATAACAGTATATTGTGTCAGTCTGTACTTATATGATGTTAATCTCTCATTCTTAGATGTGCATTTACGAATATATTATGTGGAACCATTCTTATATAGATACAAAATAACACTATATTATATAGAATCGTCTTTATACAGAGTCAACTTAACAATATATGATGTTAATGTGTATTTTGTGATGTCAATTATGCTACCACATAATATATATTCATAAATGCACATCGTGTAATGATAGATTGGCATCATATAAAGGCATATGTACATTATAATTATATTGTTCAGCTGAATTCTGAAGGATGCTTCTACATAATATATTCATGAGTGCACACTGTATAAAGAAAGAGGGACACAACAACGTTCATTTTTATAATCATAAGTAAGTCAATACCTACGTTTGACCTCGCTTTACTATATAAAAACCGGCTATTAATTTTTTAAAACCAGAACAATGTGGACATTATCTCAAAAGAAAAAAAGTAAGCTTTGTGAATTTACACGCATTCAGTAAAGATATGTTTTTAAAGATGAAGTCAATGCTATTTTTCAATACATGCAATGAAGTACAAGTCAGATCTGGATTTATCAAATGTTGTTTTGTTTTAATTAGGTAAAACAATCCTAGAGCAAATACTTGGAATATTAATGAAATAATTTGGTGCGATTCAAAAGCTAACAAACTATATTTCTGCAATAAAGCTATAAAGGTTACAAGTTTATCGTAATAGCTTCATGTATTCATTGTGCACTATCAGTAAATTACTTACTGAAAATCAATTCATATTAAACCTTTTTTACCCTATAAAAAGAAAAATTTCGAGGTACGCTTATCGTAAAAGTAATAATCTATGGGTTTGTTTGTTTTTATTTTTTTTCGTAATCCTTGAAAGTAGCATGTACACAGAGCTCATAGTACATTATTTCCCAACTGGTTGAGCTGTCTGAAATATAAAAAGAAAATATCATAAAAAACTTTTGAATTGTATTGAAACTGTCCTCATGTGTCCTGTTCAAAACCTTTGATGAAATATAGAAAAATAATACATAACACATATGAGCCGCGTCATGACAAAACCAACATAATGGGTTTGCGACCAGCATGGATCCAGACCAGCTTGCGCATCCGCGCAGTCTGATCAGGATCCATGCTGTTCGCTATCAGTTTCTGTACTTGTTATAGAGTTGTAAGCGAACAGCATGGAGCCTGATCAGACTGCGCGGATGTGCAGGCTGGTCTGGATCTATGCTGGTCGCAAACCCATTATGTTGGTTTTGTCGTGACCGGCTCATATCGTTTTTATGCAGTCGTGATTGAAAGATTTATACCAATGAATGCTGTGTGCCGTTTTGTGCAAGGACAAATTTGAGTGCAAACAAATTTATTTAGAAGAATTTTAATCTCATTTCATTGTTTTGTCCCTTTTCCCAATCACAAAATAAATTTATTAATTACATATTTAAGGTTATAAAAAGGAATACTTACCTTCAAACATGCGTTTGGAATTTCGAATACGTTTGGACCGCTCAACTGATACTGAGTGTAATTACTATACAGAAGTGTTTCGGAGATTGTATTACCTTCAAAGTAAAAAAACATTTCAACATTAAAAGGTTATGAATTATTAGTAACATAACATTTGAAAACAAAATTATTTTCTTCCGCAGTCTGATCAGGATCCATGCTGTTCGCTATCAGTTTCTGTACTTGTTATAGAGTTGTAAGCGAACAGCATGGATCCTGATCAGACTGCGCGGATGTGCAGGCTGGTCTGGATCTATGCTGGTCGCAAACCCAATATGTTGGTTTTGTCGTGACCGGCTCATATCGTTTTTATGCAGTCATGATTGAAAGATTTATACCAATGAATGATGTGTGCCGTTTTGTGCAAGGACAAATTTGAGTGCAAACAAATTTATTTAGAAGAATTTTAATCTCATTTTATTGTTTCGTCCCTTTTCCCAATCACAAAATAAATTTATTAATTACATATTCAAGGTTATAAAAAGGAACACTTACCTTCAAACATGCCTTTGGAATTTCGAATACGTTTGGACCGCTCAACTGATACTGAGTGTAATTACTATACAGAAGTGTTTTGGAGATTGTATTACCTTCAAAGTAAAAAAACATTTCAACATTAAAAGGTTATGAATTATTAGTAACATAACATTTGAAAACAAAATTATTTTCTTCTAAACAAATTTCATTGAACCGTCTCTGCAATTCATATGTATATGTTTTGTGGTCATTGCATTAATGAATATAACAAACATGATAATATGAATAAATACTCGTATTTCAAATGAAAACTAAATTTCATAGATGCTTTTCATATTTTGCTCTTACTTTAATGAAAAGATAATTGAATTTACACGGCCATTCTCAGTTAGAATTTACACCCCTATCAAAATTTTATAAAAAATACAGATTCGCAAAAACGCAAAACTGTTAGTCTTTTTACAAACTTAAACCATCTGTGAAGTTCTACTGAAATTATTTTCAACATCATATAAGTAGTTTTTGTAAATCGGCGGTTTGAAAAGTGTATCCATTTGACCTTTTTAAAATGCCGGAAATGTTCGTGACAAAGTACCGTTTACTCTAAAAAGGGCTCCTAATAATTACATTGATGATATCTTATTGGAATTTACTTTTAAATATCACATTGTACATAAATTTTTAATTGTACAATTGATATCACGAATTACTTGACTAATTAAGCTTATATACTTTTTTAAAAACTCATATGCAAAAAGTGCAAATCAAGATATACTGCTTAACTGTGATTACGATTTGTCTCATTATTATAAGAGCTACGACCCGGTGTAATAAGTATAGTTCTTGGCATAAATAAAAACAGTAGTATCTCTGCTAGCAATTGTATGCGATGTATATGCTTTATTATTAGGTAAATTGATCACCTTACTTAAATTTAAGTACTATGTAAAGCTAACGAACCTTTCAACCATAAACTCAAACAAAAAAGAAGCCCACTTAATACCCCAAAGCATACATATAGACATCAGACAATGATATTTAGTATAAAACCCATTATCTTTCTTGACTTTATAGTATACTGGTTCACATTATTTTGTAGTAAAATAAAGCATCGAATAGTATTTATGTAAAATGATAGTAACTAAAGACATAGCAATACAGCATATCAGTCTAAAACAATTGAAACAACAACACCTTAATTAAAAGATAAACATGTATCAAGAAGTAGAACAGTTTACCAGATCAAATACATTGCTGGTGCTAAGATTTTAATCATATATTCACTAACCTTTTCAATTCAGATATGGTATATAAAATAACGAACCTTTCATTGTCAAATCAAAATTTTGATGATGCTAATATAGATACATTTATATTCAGATATAAAGTTCGGATATAGACATTCGAATACAATTATATTCATTACCTAATGATATCTATTGTAATCTTTTCATTTCTCAAAATTGATATTAAATTGGAATGGCATCTGTAGTAAAACAATTTATAAATGTTTTCTTCAATTTATAACAACTAATTCAATCCAATGAAAACGTGTCAATATGGTAATAATACTAGATTTTACTTTTAAAACAAATAAACATAAGCTTTTTACGAAGAGAAACATTCAGCTTGTATAAAAAAATATTAGCTATATAACGCAAGCATATCAAATTATAGGATCGGAGTCAATTTCTCTAAATTAAATGATATGTTTGTTATTCACTGAAACTGCTTTTTTGCAACAAACAAAGAATTGACCAATTCAATGTTGTCACCTCTCAATTATTTAAATGACCTCCGCGAATATCTTGTTTCTCTTGGCTTCATTACCTTGTAGGGTGTGTCCTAGGGTTCAGCCATATCTTTTCTTCGCCCACTGGACATTGCAATATGTCACGCAAATATTAGTTTTCAAAAGGTTAATCACAATTTCACAACATTGAAGAAGCAACGTATATTTTCATGCTTGTAATACTAGTAATATATTCTTGATATTTTTCCGAATCTTCTTGTTTTATTATTTTACTGAATTACCGCATGTTTTCAGGTTTAGACTTCAGCATAATTGTCTGCACTAAAAGTAATTCCAAAGCTACAATTGTCTAGCTTGAAAAAGACGGTTTTTTTACTTGAAAGGTTCGTGGCCCAAGACAACGAACCTTTCATGGAGTTAAATGTTTATTTTATCATGTTTTCCTCATCATAATAATTTATCTTTATAGAATTGTTTTAAATTCACTTCATATTTTGAATTTATAATCACACAGATATAATGTTTATTTGCTTTTTTTTATAAAACAAGCTTTTCGGGCGAGTACGAGGTTTATTTTTTACATACATCTTTTTCAGTTGTAACGTCTTGTAAAAATCAGACATTCTTTTGATGTTCTTTTTCTGTATAAATAAGATATACTCACAAGATTTTTCTTAAATAATATTATATACATTACAGGATAAGATATATTATTTTATTCATATAAATTATCATAGGAAAGGTTCGTGACTAATGGTCACGAACCTTTCCTTGTTTGTAATCCGACATGGTATTGATAAACATCATTAAAATATAAATTCGCTTATTTCAGTTGAAACCAATATCGTTTGTGATTCGGTAGGCAATAGAAAATTTTCTTGAAATTTAATAATCATGAAAAGTATCAAAATCACTTGCCAAAGGATTTTGATGGGAATTCTCGGTCATGTTTATAACATGCGCTGCGAATAATAAGCAACCATTATAGAAAGAGTTGAAACGTTTCAACCCAAATGACATCATAGTACATATGTTTGTTATCCGCAGCCGTTTACAAACAAGCATAGTGTAGGCGGCATCGAGTAAGATATATCACCGCACGAACCTTTCATCACGAACCTTTTCTCAGCATATTTCAGATTCAATAATGTTGTTTAAACAGCAACAAAATGTTTCATTTTTGGCATAAAATACTAATTTTTACGTAACTTAGAACATTTGATGTGCTCGGGGTACATATTGTAGTCATAAACCCTTTAAATCAGGTAACGAACCTTTCAATTTTAACCCAAACCACATCACAACGTTAAATTCTACATAAATAATAAAAAAATTGTGCACACTATGAACATGGTGATAATATGAAAGTATTGTATTTTGATATTAATACAAAAAAGAACATCTAATGTTGTTTCAATGATAAAAACACTTCACTTGCAATATATGGTTAAAAGGATAACGAACATTTCATACTATCCGGCGACAAACACTAATCCCTTACCATTTTTTATGAGTTATTGTTACTGAGATCTAATTTACAAATTTATAGTCGTGAATTGTTCCAAAATAATACGGCATCAAAGAAAATTAAAACAATACAATTAAAGCATCTTAATACACGTTCACTTTTTATAAATTGGACGGCGACAATCACGAACCTGTCATTTTCGTAACTTTAGGTGAATATTATTAAACAATTATTCATGATCAAATGGCGAGTTATTGTGTGTTATTTAAGGTAACATCTACCTTCTTAAACCAGCATAGATTTACAGGCAAATAACCTGCAATAATGAGGATAGACGGTGGCGACAAGTAAAAACTAAGGGTGTAAATTCTAACTGAGAACGGCCGTACAACATTTTTATTTTAGGAAAATAAATTATATGAATACAATATCAAACAAATATAAATGCAACTTGAATGTTACAGTTTCAAAACCAATAATAATGATGGATTGCACACGGACACATGGTAAAATAATTTTTTCAAGTGCACATCATCTGTACTAAAAATTATGTAAATTTTATCATTTTATATGAAAATCACTTGAATTCGTATATATCACTCGGTGCAAACTAGTCTTTCAAATTAAGATTAACATAAATCACATTCATCCTACTCAGTTGAACAAACATAAGATAATTCCTTATTCTTTATAAGATGTATTTAATTTACAGTATATTAAATATACGTTGATTATAGATAAATTACCTTCGGCGGTTGTTCCATATGAAGTGGTAGATATGGGCGTACAGTCATATGATGAAGTCTCCATCCTTGTTAACAAGTTACCGATAGTTCCCTCCCATATGTGTGCATGTACAGGATTTTGTCCTGACCCAATTACTTCAAAGTTTTGCAGATGTAACTGGCCTATATTGATAGAAAACGGCTGCGATCAGGATACAGAATGGAACTTGCATCAGACAAATGGAATGTTTTTACAATTATTCAATTCATTTATTTGCAAAATGTTGAAAGCAAGCCAAGCCCACTCATAAACCATAATGATAAGTAAGGCATTTTCTTACATTGCAGTTTTTATTCGCTGGCTTTCAAATACTTTAACATAGGTACATAATATATTCTATGATAAAACCATATACCATTTATAGAAAAAAATGTAGTTCAAGATATGCAAATGTCTTCATAAATAAAGAATTAGTCACTTTATCTATTTTTAAAGTTTTAAAGCCTACTTAACTTGGCGATATCTTAAAAAAATCTTAATATATTTGCATATATCTTCATAAATAAAGAATTGGTCACTTTATCAATTTTTAAAGTTTTAAAGCCTACTTAACTTACATTTGCATAACTTTTTAACGTTATATACGAGTTTTTGGTGATATAAGTCCAAATAAATAAATAAATTACTTGACACACAGTGACGGATTCTATGTTCTTCTGATGATATTGAACTAACAGAGCAAGTTCCGGTGTTGTCAAACACGAAGTAACTTCTCATCTTCAAATAAAAGTTACACTTTGACACCAAATATAAACTTTTGAAAAGACATACAAGAAAATATGCATACGCTTTCCAAATTGAGGCATACCGACTGATAAATCCATTGACTTATTGTTTTAAGTTGTGTGTAAGTAAAAAAAATAAGAATGAATATGAAAAACTTATCCCAAAGATAAAATTATTGAACTGAATCATCAAAGGCGGCGAAGAAGTGCATGTTACTAGCACAGAGGTACAAGTGAGGGAATTTCGGTAATATATATACATGCATATAATCAAAAAAATGTTCATTTGAAATATCATTTAAAAAGTATTTACCAATAATGCTATCTTGAAAAAGTTCTGAAACTTAATTGTAACGACATTGTCACATAGCCTTTATTAAACATTTATTATATGTAAAAATGATTTAAAATTTTCTCATTATTACATCGATCTATTTATTTTATATATACACATGGTGTGTGTTTTTAAGGCACAAGGAACTTGGTTTCAGATAAACTATTGTTATCTGTTCACCCTGTGAGAAAAAACTAACACAATATATATTTATATATGGTATTCTATTCAGAACATATAACCTTAAAAGCAATATTATCTATTTATAAAAGGATGGCAGTTGCTTGGCCATGACTGACTTGTAACAAAAACGCATTGCACATGCAATAATATATATTATACAAAATATGTTCAATATAACTTTGATTGAGATTTCCAATATGCCAAAAGAAAGGTTTGTAATATAAATACCAATCAAGAACAATGCCGAATGCTTCTTTAAACACATGAATATGTTACTTGATAAGTGCGCTAGAATGCCAAAGCGCCGGGACAAGACTGCGTCGTAGGACCAAGCCCTGCCAAGGAGTAGCGTCTTATCAACGCCAAAAAATGCCAAAAATGTACATAAAGGCCCCCTACAGATACGTTAGGACCCCCCAATTTTTTGTTTTGGAAAAACTTGTGTGTACTCCGGATATCGGAGGTGGCCCCGGAATTCGGACGCCGATAATTGTAGGGAGGCCCGCAGTATTGCGATCAATGGCACATCCCATAAACAATCTGTATAGATATATTATATATATTCATTTCAACTTGTTCCGGATATCGGTAACTAGATCGGACTTCGATCAACAGCTCCGGAATATTTGGACATTCAATTGTCTCTTCGGACGCCAGAATTTCTAACGACGTAAATCGCCAACTGATAAAATTGTATTTATACTGCATATACAAATTTGTATCTTTCTCCGGACATCGGAGATATTACCGGAATTCGGTAAAGTTTTGAAGTTATATTAATGAAATATTAATATCGTGGATTAATTGCCGGAACTCGGTCGCCGATAATAAGTTAAATGCAAAACTATATGCTATATACTTAATATACTATGTTGAAAGTATCATGCGGAGTCTACGAATGAGACGAAGAGCTAATGTCAGGTTTTATGCCACCGATAGTACGCATATTCTATATATCAAGTTCTTAATTTGAGCTTCATAAATGACAATTGCTAATTCTTTAAATTTGTATCTGTCTATTTTTGAGTTACATTAAAGATTACAAGCAAGAAGGTCGTCTGCATGTTAAATTGATTATATTCTAGTTTTCTGTCATATGAATTCATTTATTATTATTTTTATTATTCATATTTGCATCATCTCGACCATAATTATCATAGCGGCGTCTATCACAACATAAACAAAGAATAATTATTAATAAATGGTGCCGGAATTCGGTCACCACTAATCTCCTACCAGAGTTAACTGACTTGTTAATAATTCATGATATCAATTATTTTTATTCTTAAGGGTAGCAATCTCTGTTATGTCGCAAAATAGCGACAATACCCTCTTTTATATCATTGGTGAATATTTCATTACCAAATTCTGACAAATGAACCAAATCCCGAAAAAGAGGCTGGGCTTCCACTATGTCTTGATGTCGAATATAGGCACCGCCAATTGTTTTACAAAATGATTGAAGTGTTGTATTAAAGCGCCTTCGTGCCCTGTTCAACTTAAAGTGGCTACGTTCACCACGGTAAAACATACGTGGAAGAATTTGCGACCAGACAATCTTTATATAAAACCCATTTTGAATACCTAACTGGTGTACATCATTCAATGTGCGTATTGCTAAAAGCTCAGCCTCATTTAAGGGTGTCTGTCCAATATCATTCCCACCACAGTGAATGATAAGCATATCAGGGTATTTCATATATTTCAGTGCTAAGTGCTGTATGGTGTTTGCCAGATGTTGAACCTTCATACCTGACCTAAAATCCCAAACTATTTTGAGATCCAACCCAAGGTTGTGACCCTTGTTTTCGATGGAATAATAGTAGGCATCTCGGATAATCGAAGACCCTATAACCCATACCTCGGGAGGACCTAAAATTAACAATGAAAATGATTGGTTTATACTCTTATGTAAGACTGATATACATTTGACTTCCAGCGTCCAGCCTGCTTAATTGCTGATTCAGACATACCTTTATTGAACATGTATGTGGCTCCACCCATTCTAAATGATTGTGATTTAAAAATGTTTAGAGGTTGTCCCAAATATTCTAGACATTTTCGTAAAACATGCTTAAACTGGTATTGGGTTAATGGCTTTCCATTTGCATGACATAGATATTGACCTTGAACGGCAGGTCTTTGTCTTTTATAATTTTCTAAAGTATGTTTGAGCAACACGGCGTCTTCACTCTCGAAATTTACCCGTATAGTTTGACCTTTACCCATCTGATCTGTTTTAGATGATTTTATGTGTATTTGAACAAATGAATCATTTGACTGAATTTCGTTGCAGAGAAATGCAGTTTCGCTCACGCGCATTAACCCAAAAAATGCGAGTAAAAAAAGCTGTTTTGAAAAGTAATGCTTCATAATCGGACATGCATATAAACACCAAGCTATGTATAATTTGCTTAAGAAGGTGCAAAGTGATTGGCCTGCGAGAGTCTGATCGACTTTGTAATCTTGTTCATTCCTTCTAACATTTTTCTTACTATGAAAAATTTAGTATTGTCTTGGAAATTATTCATTTTTGTTTACATAGCTAATGGCAGCGATGTGACAGTTTACCGTTTTATATGCATATCCGCCATGTGACATGAACGCTATATATTCTACGATTTCATTTAGACTGGGTGGCCAAACGCTCAGATAGAGCATTGAATTTCTAAAATTTTCTAAATGATTCTAATCCCGACTTGTAACATTTGTTTGTATTCTCACTTAAAGACATGTTTACCAGCCGAATGATTTCATGTTGATAAATTGCTGAAAATCAAATGGGATAGAGAGAGGGGTTCTGCTAGCATTTACAGGCAAGCAATTCTGCAGTCTACGGAATTGTAACCTACTTATTGCGTCACATATATCATTTTTCTTCGACACGATGTGAATTGCTTTTATTTGTATATTGTTATAAAGCAATAACAAAACAAGTTTTCGGAGCAGAATCATGACTTTCAGATTTTGCGATGATTTTTTGTTAAGAATCTGCACAAGACTCATGTTGTCACAATTGATGATAATCTTTTTTTCCTTTAAGCTTTGATCCCCATGTGTAAAAGGCCAATAGAATAGGGACTAATTCAAGAAGAGTAATGTCTTTAAATACCTCATTACTCCAAAACATCGGCCATTTAAAAATTATCCATTCCCCGTCCATGTAAGCACCACAGCCTAAATGCCTGTTACCAGCAGCATCTGAATAAAGGTCAAGGTCATGATTTGACGACCAGTATTGATCACTGAATATAGACACACCATTAAAATGATCAAGAAATTGCAGCCAAGTTCTAATATCTTCCTTGTGATCTTTATTCAAGCGAATATAATGGTAAGATCTCTTTGCCTGACACTGTGCAGTGTATAATCTACAGTTAAAAGTACGACCTGCTGGTATTGCTTTCGTGAAAAAATTTAAAATGCCAAGAATTGATTGCAGTTCTCTTAATCTAATTTTAGGTTTGACCAAGGCATCTAATAGCAATGATTTTGCTTTATTTATTTTGTCAAAGGGAACTCTTATTTCCATTTTAAAAGAATCAATCTCTATCCCTAATTAAGTGATGATTGTATTAGGGCCTTCTGATTTATCTTCATTTATAGGAATATTCATATCTTTACAGATGTACTCAAAATCCAACATGAGGTTTGTGCAATCCTCTGTGCCGGCTTTTCCGGCAAAGAAAAATCATCTAAATAATGATCTAAGTTTGACGAGTTTGCATATTGAGAAACCGCCCAGTGAAGGAATGTTGAAAATTTTTCAAAATAGGCGGGGCTGACTGAACACCCTTGCGGAAGCATTTTTTTGAATCCAATACTTGCCATCAAATTTGACACCTAATAAATCGAAATCATCAGGGTGTACAGGGCAGAGATTGAAGGCCGATTTAACATCTCTTTTCCCCATAAGTGCACCAGGGCCTAAACACTGTATTATTTTTATAACATTGTCAAAACGGGAATATTGAACCATAGTTATTTCACGATCAATAAAATCGTTGACACTAGTTCCATTATAAGGATATGACAAATGAGTTATTAGGCGCATTCCACCTGTACTTTTGGGAACTAGCCCAATTGGATTGATACGTAAGTTTGCAAATGGTTTAATTGTAAAGGCACCTAAAAAGCGTCCTAATTGTACTTCCTTTTCAAGCTTTTTTGCTAAAATTTCCGGGTATCTAATCGCAGACTGCAGATTTTTTGCCGTAAATTCGCAGTGGGGACCACTGTATTGCAGCCTAAACCCCTCCCTGAATCCATGTAATATAAAATTTGCATTCTCCTTATTATAACCTTTGAGCCACATTTCTAGACGCAAAGTATCTATTGGGGTGTGCCCAAACCTGGGATGTCTGAAATGATTTTGGCTGAGATTATTATTAGATCTGTAAGCATTTACAAATCCTGGTGTAGGTGATCTGCAAAGCAAAGCAGAATGCGGCCCGGTACATTTTTTACATTTATGCAAGTACTGACAACCCGGTTTTGAACAAAACCCTTTACCGTTGAACTCATAGCAGTGATTTTGTTTGTTTGATTGATTTGAGCTTAGATTCGTCATAGATACCAACCATAT